AGGCGTGAGGGGCGCTGCGGGGCGAGTCCCCTCGCGCCCCGCTGAAGGGCCGTGGTGGTGGCGTTTGGTCTGCTGCGGTCCCCATCGTCTCTCTGCTGCTGCTATCGGCCGCCATCGGCCTTGACAGGCCTGAAGTTCTGCGTATGCCTGTCCTCGTAGTTTGGTATTTTCAGTGATCCCTGCTTGCTTGTCTTGCCGAACCTGGGTGTGAGCAGGCACGGCAAGATCGGTGAAAGCTGCTTCGTTTCTCACGGCGTTGCTGGTGCGCTGGTTTGCTTCCGGGTGCGATCCCACTACTTGAACTGAAGAAACCCACTGAATGCATCCTCAGGCTGCTTGAAGCACCATCTGGCGTTCTCCCAGCATTCTCTTGTAGAGAGAGCCATGGCCACGATTTCCCCATCAGACCTGATTCATAGCAGACAATGGAAGGGGTAAACGAGGTTGTGGGGAAGCTAGTCTCAGTAGGTGCACCCAGCTGAGAACAGTGTCTTAAAGCCTCGTTTATGAATGGAACCCCCCTGCTCTGTGGGTTGGCATTGAAACGGATCTTGATTATGTTGTATCTTTGCTTTTAGTAACAAGTAACTTTGCTGTTACAAATTGCATACTGTGAGGAATGTGAGAGTTACACAAGCAAGGCCTAAGAATCCGAAAAGGTTGAAAAATAATTATTAATTTAAGGTTAAATCTGCAGGAGTTTTGGCTGGGTTGGAACAGGAGGGACCACTAGGTGCCTAGCAGGTCGCTGTGGTTTTGGTGAACGCTGATTTGCGTTATCAGGGTGTCTGTTGGTATTGTCCTTTTTCCCCCACCTCTGCAGACTGCCACTGTGTGCAGCTTTCCTGCTTGTGGATCCCCAGCAGACCCAGCAGAGAGTCCAGCCTGTATTATCTACATATAAGCACTTTTTGCAGTTCTGTACTCCAGGTACTTCCCCCCATCTCTGTGGTATCTCCATATTGCTGATTAAGCAGAGATTTGAATTTTCCCATAGACAGGATCTAGCTGCCTGTCTCCTCTGAATACACCTAAAGAATTGCAAGATTTCCAAAGTGGTGTGCCAGGACTCTTTGCTCTCCCTCACTCAAAAGAAAAGGATTGTTGAGATGTTGGGTTTTTTTAAAACAGGCTCAGAATTGGGGGAGATTGTTTGGTCTAATAACTAAATTCCTTTCAAAGGAAGGAGTATGGTTTGCTTGCTTGACACAGCAACTTTCTCTTCAGCTAAAGTCAAGCACAGTACTGAATTCAGTAATGAAACATGCACAGACTGGGAAGAAGCCTAAAAAGATGTCTTATTCTCAAGACAAAGAATGGCTTGTTACAGGATCTTTGCAGTGGCAAAAAGAAAAATCCCTTGTGTTGCAAAAATTACTAGCATTCATGCCATCAGAAATGTTAGGAGGCTTCTCTGTGCACTGATTTTGGCATTTAAAGGAAAATTTAGGTTGCAAGGGGCCTCTGAAGTTTCTCCAGTCAAATCCCCACTTAAAGCAGGGCTAATTTTGAAGTCACTCAGGATGCTGTATTTTGTAATCCTTAATGATACTAAAAGCTCATGAAATCTTGATGAGCATGTTACCAGGTTATTGTGAATTGTAAATTTTCTTTATAGGAGGTAAATCACAAAGATATTTGTAATCATATGACTGATTTTCTGGGGGAATAGTTAATAAAAAATAATCAGCTCAACTTGTTTGGAATATGCAAGTTGTGACAAAACTCTGAAAGATTTTCAGGCTCAGTATGGAATGTTATGGGGAGTGGGAGACAAGGGAAGAATAAGCAATGGTCAAAGCCATTTTAGACTAGGGTGTACATGCTAGTGCACTCCAGCTGATGAGAGTGCCCACCAAGTGTTTCCCCTTTTGCTCACATGTCATCTTAGGAAAAGTACGCAAGTAAATCTTGTTTGTACCCTGAATTTTATTGACAACTTGAAAACACAGACTTTCCAGGGTTTTTTGACACAGCTGCAGTGGGGCCTGTTTACACGGCTAAAATAAATGTTTAAGCATCGCTATCCTCTTAATGGCATTTTTTTTTTTTCCTCTGGTTGTGGGTGGGAGGGAAATGAGGCATCTAGAAAACCATGTTTTAACTGGTATTGACACAAAGTGAAGACCATGAGCTGGCACTTACAACAGGGTTAAGACTAAGCCTGTTTAAATTCAGGTTAGATGAGTACTGACAGCCCATAAAATAACTCACTGTTATCTTGGAGATCTCTTGTGGTCACCTCAAAAACATACAAAAAGACATTTTTCTTTTTTTCTTTGGCCTTTGCTTTCTGTAAAGAGAAGTGCTCATTCCCTTCTAAGGGTTTTAGCAGAGTTGAGAGCTTGAAGATCTGACAGTTCCAGAGATGATGCTCTTTAGCGAAGGCATGTTGCCACTAAAGCAAGTAACCAAGCTTAGAAACACTAGATTAATTCACCAGCTTCTATATTTTTACTAACATTGTGCATTGTGATGGCTTTTTCATTGTTTTCAGGGTTGTTTGTATTATTTTGGCATGCATTGTGGGGGCAGGAGGGGTGTGTTAGAATAGACTGAAACAGGGAAAATATTACTTGTAAAAAATCACAGTTCTACAGAAAAGCACAGTTTAGCATGCAGATCTTAAAGTTTAGTGCTGTGTGCCCAGCTTCAGAAAAGTTTTCTGTAAATCCTGTTCCCTGTACCCACCCACCCATAAAGACAATAACCGTGTGTTCAGTTTAAAAAAAAAAAAAAAAAAAAGTTTAATGATTAAGATACCTTTAAAACAGTCGTGCCGTGGATTGGATAGCTGTTATTTCGTAACCGCTGCAGAATGACTGGCAGGTATTGCTCAGAGACGCTGAGAGTCAGGTCCTGGCCACAAGGCAAAAGCTCCAGAGCTGTACTCCTGCTTAGTCCCGCCCACTCGCCACCCGTGGCAGTGCAGTTTGCCGTCCCTCCTGCCTGCGCTCACATTCAGGGGGAGCTGGTGGTGGCTGATGCTGGTGCAGGTTGCATGGGTTCTGGTGAGTGTGTGCACCTATGTCTTAAAAAGGCTTACAGGTTGCTCTGTTGTATCTTCTCCTCGTGGGCTATGGCTTACAGGATGCTTTGTTGTATCTTATTATGGATTGTCATTTGATGCTTAAAACCTCATGGAGTTTGATCACAAGGCAGTAGCATTTGTATTTTAAGGTAGGGTGGAGGGTTATGAAGTTATTTTGGTCTTCAGATTTACTTAATAAACAGCAGCTAAACAGAAATGAAGGTCCTAGTTGCAAATATTCAGCTGTTTTCCATCTAGCCTCTTCACTTGGCGTTCAGTAACATAGATGTGACAGGGCTCAGCCTGCCTTGTTAGTGTATGTTTTAATAATCTTGGCTGCTGTTTCCCATATGTGTTTTTCAAAGTGGCTCACTATGGTGTTTGCTTAGCAGGGAAGGAATTTGAGTATCACCATTTATTCCATGTCCCTATTCATTTAAATAGCAGAAAATTCACATATTTGAATAGGATTTTTTTTTGTCACTGAGACCAAGGAGTCTGACCAAACTAAAGAGGTGTGTAGACTAAGCTTAATGATCTATCAGCTGCAACTGGGTAGAAGCTGGCTTTTAGCAGTGCTAATAATGCTAACAATAATAATGCTAATAAAAATTAAAAGCTATGTGAGAACTACTTGTTAATCAGCTGCCAAAAATTTGGAAACATTTTTGTACCCAAATGACACATGCAAGGGATTAAATACTCGGTTCTTACCTCCCCTCTCCTCTTGTAACTAAGAATTAAGAGAGAGACAGTTCTTGACCAGACAAGATTCCAGTCTGAAGATTAGTTGCATAATCAAATTCTGGGAGGGAGCAGGGCTGTAGCCTTTTGGATATACCACAGAAAATTTAATTCTTGACACAAGGATTTTGCTTCATTACAGAAATGCATTCTGAGTTACATTTTGGTAATTCTGAAGGCTGGGGTCAGAGTGGTCTCTGATATGAGTCAGAGGCAGAGATCAAAAAATTGTCATTAGAATATGACTTTATGTTTGAAAAAAATATGTAGAGAAGGCAGATATGGTCAAGGAAGGTTTCCTTTGGTTAGAAATAAGTGGTGAAATGGGGTAAAATCTGTTCTCTTATCTGCATTATGTTTATGTAAACTGGCCTTGTTTCCTGCTTGGGATCATGGATTACTCACGTTTCTAGATACTGAGATACTGTCTTCCTTGGAACCAAGTATGCTGTTAAAGGAACAAAGAGAACTTTTTTTCCCAAATGTTTTCCAGCTATTTCTGCAGGTAGGCAGTTGGCTGTATTTGTTTTTCAGGAGTATTCTGGAACTAGTTTTAATGTTGGAAAGGGATTTTCTGCCAGAAGATTCTGGGCACAAAAGCAGGGAGCTGCTCCTAGTTCTTACTTTCTGAATTCTGGCAACAGCTAGCTGTGGGGATAAAGATTATGTGTGTGACCGGTTTATTGCCAGTCACAGTTCAAAACAGTAATATTTTCCTATATTTATGAGGGGAAAAAAGTCTCCCATATAGAAGTATATACAGATGGCAATATTTACTAAAACAATCTTACTGGGGAATAAGGTTTTGTTGATGACTCTGGAAAATAAATGATTCTCTGTATTGTGTAATACTAAAGTTGGGTGACTGCAAATCTACAGCCCTTTGTAACACATAACTATTATGATGTACAGTGACATTTTATACTGCCAAAACTCCAATTATTCTTGTGCTAATTACTGCTCAGAGCTGGATCTTGAATTTTGTTGATAAGGCAGGGCTAAGTGTGCTTTCCTGCATGCCCATAACTGATACTGCCTCCTGGAAGGTGGCTGTCAGCCCTTTCCAGGCTTGTGAAACATGTGCAGAGTCAAGACTGGGCTGTGGGGAGTTTCTGGATGGATGTTGGTTAAATAAAATTGCTACAGAACTGGAGTCACTGGTGACAAGCAGTGTTTGTACTTGTAAGACTTGAGCATGCATATATAATGGATTTCATTGCGATGTTATGAGTTCTAACTGATGGGTGTGAGTTTAAGCTGTTTGTTCCTGATGTCATTTCTGCTTTAGCCAGAGTGGAAATTGGTTAGCATATAGAAGGTGCTGTACAGGACATGTTTGTAATGTCGGATCACTGTGTCTAATAAGATGGTTGCACGTCTGCATATTTCTGTCTGCAGGCATGACTGATTACTCTAATTTTGTTTTGGTGCCTGCTTTGGTTCTAGTGTAGAACTGTAAGGAACAGGAAAGGTGTTACCAGTTGTGGTGAATTAGATATAGGGGTTTTTAAAGTCTTTTGTGGTATATTTGTAAAGTTTACTGTTTCAGCTATATTAGTGGAAAAAAAAATACATTTAATGTATAAACGCTTCTGTTTTGAAAGAAACCACTGGTTTACTGTAATAATTTAAATTACTGGCTAACATAAAGATCATCTTGTTAGGAGGCTCTTTACTACACACATATATTTCAGTCATCTTTCTCCCCACTGAATCTGAGCACTTTAATCATGAATGTTTTTGTTAGCTGGGTATCAGGAAAAGGTAAGAGTATCTTGGAGTATTGATGTGGGTCAGGTGCAGAACTGGAATGTAATCTAGGTCATCTAAACCCCAGTTCAGTACATTAACAAATCGGCAGATCATCTCCAGTCAAACAAAAGACATCCATGTGAGCTTTTAGTTGTTTTTAATCCAGTTCCTTCTTGTCTGGCATCATTGATGTCCAGTGTTAGAGCTGCTTTCTTCTTTCTCTTTCTAGAAATGTCCTTCCTCCCTGACTTTGGGATCTTTACCATGGGCATGTGGTCTGTTGGTCTTGGAGCCATTGGTGCAGCTGTGACAGGGATTATCCTTGCCAACACTGACTTATTTTTGTCCAAGCCTGAAAAGGCTATGTTGGAGTTTTTAGAGGAGATAGAGCTAAAAACTTCGGGATCAGGTAAGACTCTGGATGTTTCAGCCCACATTCTTCTGTAATTGTTTTTTTTATAAGAACCTTTGTAAGACCAGGGTTGGAAGAGTCTTTCTTAGTCTTTCTTAGTTATAACACATAATTGGGTCTCCTTGATAGCCAACGATTCTGATGAAGGAAAAATCAATCAAAACTGATACTTCTGGATGAAACATGACGCACTTCCAAAAATCAATAAAGCAGTAATACCCTGCTATGCCCATAGAATTTTTTTCTGATAGAACTGTATTTGAATGGGGGATTCTCTGCAGTGGTTTGTGTTGCTCCTTAGAGCATTAATCATTATAAACAAGAATGACTGATATTATTGTTGTTGCTGTTTCTCTTGTATAAACAGAACAAAGAACATTCAAAGCAGGTGAACTATGGAAGAAGAATGGTGCAGTGATCATGGCTGTGCGAAGACCTGGATGATTTTTGTGCAGAGAGGTATTTCCTGGGCTTGGAGATAAATTAGGAACAGTTTGTGATCATGGCTGTGCGAAGACCTGGATGATTTTTGTGCAGAGAGGTATTTCCTGGGCTTGGAGATAAATTAGGAACAGTTGAGGTCTATTTGCATAGATTCGCTTTAAATAAAGGGAGGGGGTGAATAGGACAGTCATCAGATACATCTGAAGTATCTGAAAGGTCTTGTTTCCTAGCCCAAACTGGTTGCCAGCTAACAATATAGTTTTCTTTGCAACTGGTTTGTATAGTCTAGGTCCTGAGCATCTTCCTTCTGAAGGTGATGGTTACATGATTTTTACATCTGCCAGGGACCTAGCCCATGGTAATTAGGAAGGGAGATTACACAGAATCCAGTTGGTAATGAGTCTCACAACCTAGCTGTATTCGATATGTCCAAAATAAAACTCTGTGAGCTAGGTAATCTCTGGTCAAAAACTGGACTTGCAGAAAGCTGTCAGAGCAAGCTCATCAGCAAAAAAGGGATGTGCATAAAGGGGAGTCCATCGCTGTTCTGTATGGTGAACGTGAGGCATGAAGGTAAGGAGTCTGAAGACAAGGAGTTACTGTTCCATAACAAGGTGGGTTGGGAAACAAAATTTGATTGATTTGGTGGCATTAGGCTCATTGGATGGAGGTGGGAGTAAACACTTAAAATATGATTTGAATGTACCATGTGCCTGGGAACATCCATAACTTGCACCTTGGCCATTATTTTTCTCCTAGCTATGGGGAAAAATAGCTATTATGTTGTTACTCACTATATAACATGGAGTAATTAATATTGCAACCACTTAATGAAGAGATTGCTCCCATCAGTTGTAACTGCTTAAGAATGTGTAGAATTCATGGAAGGTTAGGAATTAAAGTACTTCGTTCTCTGAACAGGTGTAGTGTAGGCAGGATGAGAACGTGCTACATGCCTGACTGTGCCTTTCACATACAGTCAGACAGGAATTTATTAATGATTTTTATTTTTTTTAGTGCTAACTTCTTAAGTTGAAATAAAGAGCCCAATTCAAAGAACTGTGGTTTGTTGTGGTTTTGTTTTTTTTTTTTTTTTTTCTTTCAGGAAGAAATTGAGGAGAAAGAAATTAATTTTCTAATTCTTATTTTTGGTTTAAAACTTCAGATTTTTAACAGAGGCAGTCACACTGCTGATCAGCTAATTAGGGCAAAGAATAGTTTTCTATTTTAACTATGAAAGTGTTTGAAAAAGCTTTAAAATTGTCTAAACTGAAGTTATTTTTGATAATTGTATACTCAAAGCATTTTTTTGAGTTAACTCTTGCCTTTCTCCCAAGAATAGTTTACTTGCCCATTTTATTTGTCAATTAACATTTCTCCATAGTATGAAAGCTGTTTCTTTCCCCACTGACTCTTAGCTGGTGGAATGGTTCAATACAGGTGATTTGTTTTGGTTTTTTTTTTTTTTTTTTTTTCAAGAGACAAAATACACCTGGTTTTCACTATCGTAGACCTTGGAAAGAATGTTGAACTTTGTCGTTGTTGACAGCACCAGGAAGGAATATATACTTCCCTGGTCATAGTGCTGGCATTGAAAAGTGGCCGTTCTACCCCACAGATAACTAACCTGATATCAGTGGTGGGGACATGATTCCATTATCCACTGCAAAGTGTGTCACAGATCCTACTGGAATGATGCCTTTGGATTCTTGAGAAGTGAGGCCTGTAGACTTAAGAAATACAGAATCTTTTATCTTTATGATCTGCATCCTAAGTAATCAGATTCCTTTTTTGTTAGTTAAGATAGACTATGCTTAACAGGACTGTACCTCTAATAGTCTGGATCCAGCCATGTAGTCATATAGTGCTCCAGTCATTGTGAAAGTGCCATGGGCCTGCTCAGTATTGTAGGTTTTGACTCAAATAGTCTAAAGTAGCAGAAGAGCTATAGTTGAACTATTAAAGGGACAAACTGAAATGGGAATTATTCTTTTGGGTTGTCCCTGCCTTGGTGAAGAGAGGAAGTATTCTGCTAGGGTGTGCCTGTCTGCTTTTTACAAAAACAAGAAAACAGTTTCACAGACTAGATAATATGGTCACGGCCCCATGGTTAGGCTATACAGCTGTTATGTGATATAGTTTTCCCACAAAAATAGACTTTATTTGCTTTCCCATATATCATTTTTAAATAGCAGTAAAGAAAACCAAATCAGATAGAGTCCCAAGATGCTGCTTGAGGCATAATTTCTTGAAAATTTTAAAGCTTAACTGTGCTCTTACATTATTCCTGCTCTCTCCCCTCCCAAACGCCAAGCAAGGAGACACAAAATAAACCCCACCAAACTGCTGAAGTGCCTTTCTCCAAAAGGCTAATCAAAGTCTGATGGTATCACTATCTCTCCAGAGATAGTGATTTCTGGCTTTACAGAGCACCCCACTGCACTGGCCTGGAACGTCAGTTCTGAGACATGTTAGGTACACAAATCTTTTTTTGTTTTATTTGTTGGCTATGAGAGCTTTGAACTCTGTTAAAAATACCAGGTAAAATTGTTATCAACCCCCCTTTTAGGAAGATCATAGGGCATTTTGTAGAGGGAAAACAGAAAATAATTACCAGATCTTTAAGAACAGAAAAAAGGGGAAAGATCTATCAAATGAAAGCTATGATCCTTTAACTCTCACCACTCACTACTCAGTGTTTGCTTATGGTGCTGATTCATCCTTTTTCATTTCCTCTGAAAGAGAGTAGCTGGAAAGCTGCTCTTATCCTTTCACCTACTGATGTTTTTTCTCTAATGTCTCTTCTCCTGTCTGTTCATCCTGTCTATCTGCTACCTGATAGTAAATTCTAGCTGACCTGCAAGGCTCTGTGTTCAGGCATTTCAGTTAGGCGGCTTAGGGTGTTCATGTAAACTGTGCCCATTTCTTAAAGCATGGAGGTCTTTGTGGTAGCTTTGTCCTGCAGAAATGACCTTTCTCCATTGGAGATGAGAAGAAACATATTTTCAATGTGCACTCTGATCTGTTGGAAACCTCAGAGATGTTTGTACAAGCTGTGGGAGCTGGGATTCCTTCAGCAGAACAAAAATCTCAGCAGATGAGTCGTGACACCTTGCACTCTTACACACCAGAAAAAGCAATATTACTTCTGGGATACTTGAAGGTGTATGAAGAAATTCTCCGATTAGTTTCACTGGGGGATCTAGGAAGGAGAGTTCATCTTCACTCCATTACTTACTCTGGACTTACATAGCCTGCTCCTGCACTTTGCAGAAGGGCTGATGATGATGTATTTCTACTTGGAAAAAAGGATTGGAAATTCTGGCCCGGGAAAGTTAAGTGATGTGCAGGCAGTATCTTTTCATTGTTCTGTAAACGCTTTAAAAGATAGTTGAAGCCCTAGGACAGGCAAGGTCTGTCTACAGCTTTGAGTTAAAAATATGTTTTCTCCAGGATTTTAATATTTTATCCGATAAATGCTAAAAAAATTACTTCCTCCATGCTTAATGAAGAGCATTTTAGTAAATCTAATAAAGACATGCGTAGGAGTAGAACTAGCTTAAATGTCTGATTTACATGTCTGTTTCTGTTTTTCGCCTCAAGCTCGAATTTATGTATGTTTCTGACAATCTTGAAGTTCAAGGTGAAGCCTTCCAACCTCTACTGGCTGAAATGTTTGGGTTTTTTTTTCCTTTCTTAGGAGGCTTCTGAGCTCTCCTCTCTGAAACCCCAGCTATCCAAGCTGGGTGTCCCTCTCTATGCTGTTGTAAAAGAGAAGATAGGGACTGAAGTGGAGGATTTTCAACATTATTTTAAAGGAGAAATCTTTCTGGATGAAAAGGTATACTGAAGTCTGTGTTCTTGTTTTGTTTAAAAACAAACTTATGGATGTTGTCTTTGAAGAGCTTGTATAAATAATATAGATAGAATGTGGCCTGAATGAAAAAGGATTTAGTAGCACTGTATTTCTAAGAAGTTAGTCAGCTTTGCTTTTCTATATATGTATACTGCTCAGCTTACAAGTTGCTCTGTAGCTATGCACTGATAACATGTTCTTGCAGGATTATTCCTTCTGTCCCTCTTAACAGGTAAACAATATGGCCTATTAATATTTGTTCCTTTCTTCCACTGGCTGTGTGACTTGCTAATGTTTATGATGTATGAATCAAGGTCTGAAGGTGACAGACATAATTCATGACGTACAGGTCGAATTGCAGCCATGTGGCTTGTCCCAGTACGCTGGCACATGCTATATTGCCAGTCTCATGTCCTATAAAACCATGGCCCTGCTTACTCCTTAACACAGAAGACACATTTAGAAATCATTTGGCTTCTGAAGGAAAAAGAAAATGTAATACTCAAAATCAAGCAGAAAATTTTCGTCCCCGCTCTGCTTGTGTTTAAAGTCAAACCAAAACAGAAAAAACTCAGATGGCTGATAAAGTTTTAGAATTTGACACCACTGTTATCTCCCTACCAGTATTTTTTTTGTCATACTAAATAACTTTTTTTCTTATTTTTGATGACAAAGCACCCTTGTTGTCAGCAATGGGGATGTAGATGTACATGGGGCTTAAACACCTGTGGATCAGCTTAAAATCCACATAAGTGGTGGCAGTACCACTAGTTGGCTATGTGGAGGTAAGTGCATTAAAGAGATTAGTTCAGGTACAATTTCTTTCTAGTGCTGCCTGGTTAGCTTTTATGTGTTTTCACCTTTCTTGGATACAGGGTTGGCTGGTTTCCTGAATTTCATTTGGGAGGAAAAGTCCTTTTCAATTTGTTTGCTGAGATATTTTCTGTTTCCCTACAGAAAGGCTTCTATGGTCCACGCAGACGAAAAATGATGATGTCAGGCTTCTTCCGCTTTGGAGTCTGGCAAAATTTCTTCCGTGCTTGGAAAAGTGGATATAGTGGTAACCTGGAAGGGGAAGGATTCACCCTGGGAGGAGTATATGTGATTGGGGCAGGAAGACAGGTACTACAGGCCATTTAGGAATCTTTTTTGTCTCCTGTGAGACTAAAAGTTTATTTCCTGGAATTGTTCAGTTGCTAGTCAGTTGATATCCCATGGGTAGACTAGTGTATGAATTTCTCTCTTGTTTCTTTAACTAGGGCATTCTACTGGAGCATCGTGAGAAGGAATTTGGAGACAAAGTCAGCCTTCCATCTGTCCTTGAAGCTGCTGAGAAGATAAAACCACAAGCTTCTTAAGTGGAAAAATAGTTGCACATGTTTCTGATGACAGCTTGAAATATAGAATGCATCTGATTTTTGAACATGCAGTTTAATTGCTTCTTAACTATTTAGTGATCAATGCAGAAGAAAGATTCTCTACTCAGATGTAGAAAATTATGAAAATCCTCTTGGAACTTTTTTTGTTGCTTTGCAGCCTTTCAGGTGGTCAGGATTTCAACTGCTCTTTTGTGTCTGATTGTATTAATGAAAGGCTGGGTCTAAAATCTGACCTAACCTAGATGTTTTCAGTCAGAGACAGTCAGTTGAAAACCTGTCTACCTAGGGGAGCAAAGCTCTGCTAAGGCTGGAGTAATGGAATATCAGCTGAGGTGGAAGGATAATAAAACTTTATATGAATTAAATCCCTTCACTTTTTGCTTTTTCATTAACATATAAACACATCTGTGTTTCTAGAAGACTAAATCCTGTCAGTCTAGATTATTCTAATATTCTGCTTTCAAAACATGCCACTATGTCTACCCATTAAGTTTCTTGTTAGTTAAGTACTGGCTGTTTGTGTGATTCCCTACAGGGAAGATTGAAGACATCTAATGTTCACCATGGAAGATAATTGTGGCATGAGGCAAGTTCCTGCTATTGTTAAAGGTTCTAAAAAATACAGGGAACAATACCAGAGAGCAGATTAAGCATAATTTCCATCCTGGCTCAAGTTCTGCGGTAGAATGCTGGGCTGTTACTCCTAAAAATAGATGTAGTGTTGCACAATATGATCCATGAGATCCAGTGCCGTACATAGCCAAATATATGTACTTAGCCACAAGTATGAACAGGACAGCATGAATTTTCCAAATGTGCTGATGTTTCAAAATCTGAACAAAATCTTAACACTGCACTTAAAGAGGATTATCAAGTTTTGCGTATCCTTCATTGGCTAGTGTATATAAAAGGCTAGGTAACTTTGGAAAACTATGCACTAGAATATACTAAGCTAGCAGAGGAATTAAAGGGAAGGATTCTTTTGTCCTGGCAGCAGGTCAATCTGAGGTGTCATTCTGCTTTCTTCTGACCTTAAAATTAATGAAACCTTCATGTGTCGTTGGTATTGAGGGCAGGGATACTTGCACCTCTGAAACTTTGGTAATATGCCTACTTTTGCTCTATGTGCCAGTGCCTGCCTATCTGTACTGTTGACCCATGTGGAAAAAAAATGGTCATAGCTGATGCTGACTGTATGAAACCTAAATGCCAAAACTCAGACTTCACAAGCACTTCAGGCCTGACGTTGATCTGTGTTAAATCAGCTTTAGAATTGCATCATTATGAATGAAATCATGACCTTTTTTTTAAATATTTATGTCCAGGCAGAACTAATTTTAACTAAAAGTATGTGTTCTTCAGAGCCTGTTGTTCGCAGTTCCCTGAAACAACACTAGCAGTGAGTATTTTGAGTCATAGGTTCACCAAGGTGTTTAATTTGAAAACTAAATGAAAATTTGACCCATGTATTCTACTGTCAACTGAAATTTGTATTTGAATATTTGGGGGGATGGAGGAAGGAACAGGAGTTTGGAGAGTAGAGCAGAAAAGTCTACAGCAAATTGATTACATGAATCGGACTTTCTCTATAAAGGCTCTCGTAGGAGTCATGGAAAGGTGCAGAGAGCCATATACTGTATCCATATTCTGAGCTGCCCAAGTAAGTATGCCCATAAGATGGTGTCAGAAAGCTGTTGGATGCTCAAAGACCTAAAATGCCTGGAGGTGGGCTCCCTTGAATGGCATCCAGAGCAGCCAGACAGCTGCCAAGAGTTTGCTCCATGAAATGAGCTATGCTTTAGAGCTTTTGGTTCTGGATTTTACCACTGAAAAAATGTACCCTATCGTGAATGCTGGCCTGACACAAGGCACCTAAAATTCTTCCTCTACAATCCTGGAAACTTCAAACCATTGTGTAAGTAGCCACTTGTCTGCATTAGGCATATTGTTATTTTGGAGTGCAAGTGGTAGGAGACACAAAAGATGATAAAAGGAATGGGTGTGAACTAGTGTTTCTTACAGTTGCAAGATGCTATTAATAGCAAAGATCTTGCAATAGGAGGAGAAGTCTCAATCACAGCCCCTATAGAATTGTGAGTTTTCTTTCCAGTAGGAACTGGAAGGCTTTGTCATTTGCAGAGAATGGATCTTACACAGAGACAGGCAAAGAAGGTACTGATCTTAGACCTGGATTTCAGGCCTTGTTCCAAGGGCTGCTAATGCATTTCACATAAACATGAAACGTGAGAGGCATAAACAGTCCTTGGAGAATGGGATGGAAGCTAGATAAATTGCAATAAGTTTAAAATAAGTGCCTTTAGAACCTGCTAAATCTGGAGAGTATCTACTTACAGTTTTGTGTACGTGCAGTTGAATTCCACCCACTCTGACAGAGCTGGCTGGTTCTTTCAGTCAGACTGCAAGTCCTAGATGCCCAGGATGCTGCGAGGTTGCAGCCCTGCTGTTAGCCCACCTAAGGGGACTGTGTGTTGTGATCTTGGAAACAGAAGCAGGAAGCCATCATATCCAGCATTTACAATGTTTAGTTGAAATATAATGGCTGTTAAACATACAAATCACTAATGCTACAATGTGATTAAATGTTCTTTTAGTGTAGAAACACTTTTAGACAGACCATTAGCCTTTCTGAGGGTGTTTATTAAAATATGGATACTGAAAGTTTTCTGCTCTGCAAGGGCATATGTATGGTAACCATGTCAGACCTAGGTCTGGGAGAGTGTGTTTTCCTACCCATGAACAGCTAGCGGGACAGTGTGCTTCTTGACTCAAATGTTACATAAGGTTACCCACATTTCAAAGATTTCTAACCCTGTCTTTCAGAGATCAAGTCATAGTTTGGAGTCATAAAAGCTCCAAATGGTATTTGAAAATGTTCTGAAAAATTATTGATAAATCTGGTATTTTTTTAGGCCAACCTTGGGATTGTTCAGTGTTGATTCATCCTTTCTGATCTCCATGTTGACAAAATACAAATGGAGAGGATAAAATATGTGGTGCCTAAGAGCTAGAAACAGTTAATAGGAATTGGAAATGGGCAGTCTTGAAGAAATAAAAATGGCAATAAAAGAGCAAAGGCAGAACAAATGAACTCTAAGGTTAATTTCCCATGCTGGAGACTAAAAGGTTAGACTATCTGGTTTCAAAAAATACTTTATTTTTTAAATGAATATTAATCGAAAAGATGGTTTTCATAGTTGTAGATTTTGTACCAACAGCTACCTCTGCTGGCCCAGTTCTCTATATGCATTTAATGTTTTGATTATTTTTTTTTTTCTTTTAACACAACATGAACACAGAGTCTAAGTCACTTCCCAGTCCATCAAATATCACATCACAGTTCAACACTCAGCTGGTTACTGAAAACTCTAATAATTGAAAGTTTGTTTAATTTGGGCTTGAGAAACAAAATTCCCCTGCAGTAATTTCTCTTCAATGAACTTTCCCTTGTTTTCAAGCCTGCTCATCTTTTTTTTCAGTATAAAACCAGAGTTAATAAAAAGAATTTTAAGAAGGAAAATGCTGTGAAGTCATCGGGGTAGGTGTAATATAGGAAGGTGCTTTTTACTTTAACTTTTAAAAATACTGATTACATTTCCTATCTGCAGTGTCCCTTTAAAGCCATTAAAAATATGGTCTGCCTCCTCAGAGGGTGTTTTCTCTGTATTTCTTGTTCTGCATCTTTGTTTCCCCGTGTGGGTTATCCCTTCCCACGGCTGTCAAACTGCCTGCAGTGGTGCCATTTGCATCCACAAAGAGAAGGGAATGCTAGGGGATCCCTGTCATTTTTTGGATATGTTTCCAGTGATGTACTGTGGTAGAAAGAAAAGAATGAGCAAATTTCTTCTCTCTGAACTGCTGGATGTCACTGCTACCCCAGCCAAAATGAAGGTCAGCAGTATACTTGGTGTTTTCTCTGCAGTATAAGATTTGCATAAGAAAAGTGCCAGGAACAGGTCACTGTAGATTCGGATTGGGCTACAAGAAAGCTGTTAAGAGAAGACATCTACTCCAGCAATCTTTTTACTTGTGTGGACATTTTTCTTTCTAAAATAAGGAACCGAAAAGAGATACTGTATTGAATGATACAGTCTGTGGTATATAGATATTTTTAAATTAGTGTAGAGGGAATACATTATTAACAGACTCACTGTAATCCTTACTAATGTCTTATGTTTTAGTAATATTAGATACTGCCAGTGTGTGCGTGGCTTCCTTTATCCCACAGACTTCTGTCAGAATTTGATTTAGTGAAGCCGGTAGACAGGTGCAATAGCCAGCAGAGCTAGGGAGCTGCAGAAAATGCTGTGGAGACACAGTGACGTTAAATCACAGATTCAGTTCAATCCAGTATTGAATTTATTCGATAATTGAGTAGTTCCATTCTAATTTATTCTTCCTCTGATTGATCTCGAGAATGTTATAAAGGTTTTCCCTGAAATATTTCTACTTTCTCTTTTAGGTCCAGCTACTGATTTCTTTGTATTTGAAGTAAAGTCTCTTTTAGTAGTTTTTGTGGTCTTTTTTTCCCACACCCCCATCTTTTTCTTAACCTCATAATTATCAAAACCACATGATAATTCAACTGATTTCCAGAAGCCTCCATGCGTAAGTTTCTTCCACTGAAAAGTTGTGTTTGGTGACAATGATAATGCTGAGCAGATGCAATGGGATTGGTGAATAGCTCTGGTTATGCCATTTTCCACCAGCTACTCATAATGGCTTATTCATTAATTTTAGGAAATGTTTTGTACAGGTCAGAGGAAACAGCATTGACAAACCATACATGAACATCAGCCTGCACAAGTTCACTAAAAAATCAGATTTTCCATTTTCATTTCTGCAGTATTACACCTTTTTACTGCTGAAGTGACTCTCTTTTAAAAGTCTTCCAGTTCGCCCTAGCACTTAGTTAATGTTTCTGTGATGGATGAGATTTTTACCCTAATTTTCTTGGCAACACAGTGAAGCACAGAGAACAGAGATAATGTCAAAGACAAATAAAATGGGACATAAAGAGGTTGTTCAAACTATCTCCATGCTAACAGTGAACACAGTCGATTCAACTACTCTGTGAACTGCTAATACTAGCCATTTTACAAGAATATTTTAAATTGCAAGAAAACCTTATTTTAGTGATGAATGCCCTTCCTAGTTCTACATCCTAAAGCTGCTGAATTTCTCTGACATTTCCCATTTTCCCTGCTGAGTCTTAGCAGTTACTATTGTACCCTCATCTTCCCATCTCTTACAGAAGGAGCACACTGAACCTTTCTGCCTTGGCTCTGGACTTTGTGGAGATGTGACTCAGTTCTCTGTAAGATGACTTAAGTACTTCTGAGATGGACAAAGGATCTCTTCTAGTTCTTTTTGTTACCTGATAAACCAATTACCTTTCCTAGCTCCCCTTCCTCACTTAGATTCTCCCTAAAATTTAGGTAGCTTCTTCAAGTATCTTCTTTCAGCTTTACCAGTCAGTTCAATTTTACTTTGTTTCTCAAGAAGCCTCAAGCAATCTCAGGAGGCCTGCAACACACCACTTTTTTTTTTTTTTCTTTTTTTTGTCTACTATTTCTTTGAACAACTACAAGTAGGGGATGAGAAGGAATCTTGATAACGCAACCAGTGGATGGGTGATGCACTGGTATCTCTATCTGCTTTCTCTGACTTCAGATGGGTGTGTGTAAGGGAACTGTGCATTTATGACTGTAGTGGTTTGAGCCCAGAGGTAAACTGAGCACCAACCAGCCACTTGCTCACCCCTTCCCCCTCAGGAATGGGAAGGAGAAAATACAACAAAAGGCTGGAGGAGTTGAGATAAGGACAGAGACATTCACCCATTCTGATCACAGGCAAAAGACAGACTCATTAGGGGAAGAAAAAAGAAAATCAATTTAATTCAAATGCTAACAACAACACTTAAAGTAGGACAGTGATGTATAACCACATCTTAAAAACACCTTCACCTCCCTTCTTCCCGTGCTCAGCTTTGCTCCCGATTTTCTCTACCTCCTCCACCTCAGTGGTGCAGGGGCTGGGGTCACCATCAGTCCCTCAGACATCACTACTGCTCCTTCCTCTTCAGAGGGAGGACTCCTCGTGCTCTTCCTCTGCTCCAGTGTGAGGTCCCTCTTACGGGAGTCAGTTCTCCACAAACTTTCTCCAGTGTGAGTCCTTCCCACAGGCTGCAGCTCTTGCCAAACCACTCCAGCATGGATCCCTCCCATGGGATGCAGCTCTTCCTGAGCTACTCCAGCGTTTGTCCCTTACGCATGTTGCAGTCCTCCCAGCACCAAACTACAACAGCAGGGGCTTCCCTCAGAGTCCTGGCCTTCTTCAGGCACAGCCACCTGCTCTGGCATGGGTCCTCCATGGGCTGCAGGTCAGCACCTGCTCCACCATGGACCTCCATGGGCTGCAGGGGGTCTCTGCTCTGGTACACTGCCCTGCCCTGCTTTCTGCCACTAACCTCGGTGTTTGCAAAGGTGACTCTCTCAGAATCATCCTCACAACTCCAGCTCTTCCTCCCAGGTTCCCCTTAAATGTGTTATTGCAGAGGAGCAGTCACTGTCACTAATTGGCGATGGCCAGGTGTGGGTATGACCTGGAGCTGGGGGAGCTTTGAGAAGCTTTTCACAGGGGCCATTGCTGTAGACCCCTCCCCTGCTACCAAAAATCCCACCACAGACACAAACCCAGCACAAAGCCTTATTGATTGGAGGGAGGTTTTGGTTGTCAGCCTGGAGAATCATCATGCAAGAGAAGTACTAAGCTCACCCTGTTGTTCAGTGGTTCCTTACAGCCTTTAGCTGGCTGCTTGGTGGGATGTCTTTGTGAGCAGCGCTGTGCCTGAGCTAGGGGGGATAAATAAGTCCCAGAAGTCTAAACCCTAGGGCAGGTGAAGGAAGTATAGAGAATACAAGGTGTCCTGTAATAATGCCTCTGGTGTTGAACTACCTTCCTTAGACTTGCCTTCCTGCACACAAATGCATTTTTGTAGCGAGGCACTGAAGAAAATAGTTTTTGCTCTTTATAAGAGGAGGAGAATTAAGGTGACAGAAGGGTTTTACCTGTGACGACAGATCATAAGGTATGGAAAAGAAGGGATGCAAGTTAGGAGCAAAGCTAGACAGGGAAGGGCATTTCCCCACCTGCCAGGCAGTGACTATTTCAGTGTGAGCTATCACTTGCTCACCACATGGGTTTAAAATCTACAACTCGGCAACTCCTCCCCCTTCCTCCTGTCTTCCCAGGGCCTCGAAAGAGAGATTTAAAAGCCCTACGACGCCTGAGGACTCAAAATACTCGTCAGATTAGTTTTAATTTTTTCCCTTCGCCTTCTGGCTCTCCAGGTAAAGGTCGATTGTGCCTTTGATATTACACTGAAAGTGCTGTTCCTGGTGTGCTGCTTCTCTCTCTGGAAGCCCCTGACACGCCGTTGAGGGAACAGGCCGGCCTCGCGGGCCTCACCTCAGCTCTCTCGGCCCGGCTCGGAGCGGAGCGCGGGGCTGGCGGGCTGAGCCTCTTCCGCAGGGCGGGGCACGCGGCCATTTCGACCAGAAGTCGTCTAAATAAAAAAGCTGAGGGCCGTACTGTACGAGACAGCGAATAGCTTATACAAATTTCTCCATCAATGAAATAATACCCTTCCTAAGACAGCCCTTTCCAGACTGATGGTTCTCAGCCGGTTACTGGTTTTTATGCAGAAGCTATTACATTGTATTTGTTGCCTTTCTGTTTTGGTCTTCAGATCAATATATCGTTTTTAAGATAGGAAACCTGCAACACACATACGTGTATATGACATGGTTAATATAATTTTTCTTCTTTTAAAAAGCATGCTTTGTAACAGAAAGCTCTCGTGCCAGTGCTTTACTAACTGAAATACCGCCAAAGTGTCTGTTAGAAAATTGTGTGGAGGCTGTCATACATGTGGTACTCTAACTCTTATCAGAGATTATAATCCATTTTTCAAATAGCATAGTTGTTTAACTTGAAAATAATAATTTCAAATTCATCTGATACCAGAACTACAAAAGTTTTTTTTTTTTCTAAAGTCTTTGTAGAGTTATTTATTAATATGCCTCCAACATTAAGCGCAATACCGTAATTGTGCAATACCCCATAGCACACAATTGCCATGGCAATAAAACATTATTACATCTCTCGCAGGAGAGGGGAGCCACCACAGCGTGATAAAAGGCCTGCAGTGCCAGGCAGCGGGAGCTGACACAGCTCCTTCCTCAGCTGCCCAGTCTCACATCTGCACAAGTGTACTCTTCAGCTACTCTAGAGCTGACAAGTGAAGACTTGAGGGAGAAAAGCCACGGTGTTAAACCTCACCGAGACGTTTCAGTCAGCCTCCCCTCAGCTGTGCCCTGGGGCTGTCACTGATGCTGCTGTCCCTGCTGTAAGGGCTCAGGTACCCAAGGACTGTCCTATAGCAAGAGAAAACCCCTGTGTGTTTTAAGACCCCAGGTTTTACCAGCAACGGTGTAAGGGCTTCCCAGATTCTGATTTTGGCTGGAGGAAGCTATGTGTAAGTCCCACCTCTGCCATCTTACACCTTTCTGCATCAGACCCTCAGCCCCTGCTGTGCTGAGCAGGGCTGCACCAACAGTGTTCCACACGTCTGAGCATAGCCCTTCGGCTGCTGCTCCCCAACTCTGGGACAC